TTATTGAGTTGATAGAACTTATAAATCAGTTAATGTATCCTGTTGGTCAAGTATAGATCTCATGCTCATACTGGAATTTGTACTATGGATATGAAAATCAGTCCTCATTCGTGTGCCATAGCTATGAATTTCATCATTCATTGAAATAGGAAGGAAGTAAGCCTTTGTTCAATATACAGTATGATGCAAATGTATGGAATAAATTCATTATTTCAGAAATGGGCGACATTTGAAGAAATTGCAAAAACACGTGTTTTAATTTTTGAAACCTCATCTCATGACATTCATATGAGAGATGTTACGTCACCGGTGTTGGAGTAATGACGTAATGGACGGTTTTTTTGAATACAAACAGGGGTCATGTGACACCTCGTTTGAAAGCTCTACTGATCGTCTATCCAATAGTCAAAATTTTGCAAAAGAAGATTGAAATTAAAATGGATTATCATTTGGTTAACTGAATCTTGCAGAGATCTTCTACTGAGAATTGAACATCGAAGGGTCGTCTAGTTGAAAAAATACATCGATAAAAAAGTTCTGAACTCTACTTTTTGGATTTTTTTCGGAAGTCGTCTTGTTTTGAAATGAATTTATTCCATACATTTGCATCATACTATATAATGGATTATGGTTAATTAAGTAAATTACTGTTGCACAAAAGTCACAGTCAGGTTTAGTGATTCACACGAGACCAACGAGACGTGACTTTCTCGAGTCTCGTCTCGCAGTCACGAGTCTCGTCTTGTCTCGCGTCTCGTACGAGACTCTAAAAATAAAATGAAAAAAACACATATATTCTATACAAATAAACGAAACAAAAACTTGAATCCAACATCATTTTACTTATTTAAGATATAGGTATCTAAGATTAAAACCTTCATCAGTCAGATTAGTCTTAACGATCGCAAATGTTTTTGTTTCTTAGCAGTCGTTAAGACATGAAGTTATTCTTTATCTTAGACTATTAAGCACATGATGACTTATTTATAGATTTTCAGGTATACATTCAATTTGCGATCTGTCGTTATTGCAGAATTGCCTTTATATTCCGCCGCCGTAAGAGAGAGATTAGTCCATTTTCGTTACACGCATTACGACGTTTTACAACAATCATGGATTGTGTTTTTAAAGTATTTATGAATGAAATGTTTTGTCTATTTGTGCTAAATAGTCTGAATTATTCCTAAATATGTTGTATTATGAATGAAATTTTCAAGTCTGCAGTCGACACGCAGAAATATTTACCTGCCAGACTCTCGCACGAGACACGAGAAGTCTTGCACGAGACTTGGGACGAGACCAATAAAAGTCTCGTCTCGTGTTGTCCGAGTCTCGTCTCGAGTCTTGTCTCGAAAACGACACTCTCGCGGGCACCACTAGTCAGGTTTAATAATAGGATTGTTAATTGTTACTCTAGCAAACATGGACAGTGCTTTCGCAATTATTGAAAAATAGTTATTTAACCAACTAGTTTATTAATGAGGGTGATTAATGATCGAGATATTTTAACGTGCGAGCAGCAAAGCGAGCGCGTTAATGTTCGAGATCATCAATCGCCTTTTAATATACAAGTTGGTTACAAAATTTTTCCGTCGACTATATTTCTCATTTCTCCTGCAATGAAGAAAACTTGGTTCGCGAATTCATCATCCATCTGGAAACTGCTAAGAATCACCCAGTAGCCTTGTTACTGACATTAGTGACATTTGACATTTGTCGAAATGATCAACATAGAAAATAAATTCCTTGTGTTAGGAAACAGGGATTAAAATCGTGTCAGAAACTTGGAAAGGTGAACCCGTTAACAGAAAATCTTCAATGAAATCCATATTTTCGATTTAAATGCAGATTCCGTAAGTTATAGCATAAACAATGAATGCACGCGGTGTATGTTTGGTTGCCTATAAAACAATCGTACATTAATAGACAAATCGTTCATTAATAGGGGTCATTAATGAACGATTTCATATACATTGAACTTAGTCGTTAATACGAGGTCGACGGAAAAAGTACATTTTTTCACAAATTTTTCTAATGACATATTCTCCATGACTGTTGAATGTTAGATTATTATCTATCATGAATCCCAGGTACTTGATTTATTCTACAATCTCCAAAGATGTATTTTCAATCACTATGTCAATAGAATTCACAAGTATGTTATTATATTTATATTTAGTTGTCACATTCATTGACTTGGTTTTAGTTACATTCAATTTAAGTTTATTTGTCTAGAGATATCTTTCAATATTTGCTAATGTGTTGTTCATTTCCAATATAGCTTGGTCCAAACTGTGATTTGCACAATACATCAATGTATAATCGGCAGACGATTTCCAACATCAGATCAATTAATTTATTTTCAGAATAAATAGTACAATTTGATGGATGATTTTGTACAAACTTACAGAATACTGCAACAAAAAAAATATAAAATTCTCATAATTATCTCACCCACCATATAAATGTTTTTTTCTACTACTGCTACGAAAAGTAGCGCATTTCTCATAGCTAAAACCATGTATTGCTCATACTGTGAGAAATATTTTTTCTCACGGCACTTTGCCAACACCACATACATACATTTCCATGGAGAATCAACAAAAAACGAGAAAAATTTAATTGGCTGCTGTTCAGCTTTGAATAGTTGTCACAACTGTCAGAAGAAGTTTTTTAAATTCTTTAGGGTAGTTCTCAGTGCAGAAATCGCAGTTACCATCGAATAATATTCCAACAATTAATAATAAATAATATGATGTATATTATACCGAGACAAAGATAATGAAAAATCTGCCGAAGTTGGATTTGTTTCCGGAAATTTCAAGAAAAAAGTATGAATTGCCATATACGCGAAATTCATGGAATTTGAAAGAAATAAAGAAATAAAATCTTTTTCGGAAATGAATATACTATTTAGTTACATATACTAGGATTCTTTGGATAAGTGCATCAGTTGTAGAAAAAGTATAGTGGCAACATTTGGGGTAAAGTACTCTTCCTATGAGCGCGTGGAAAGTAGTACTCTTCCGCACTCATTTGCGTGCGCAAAGTTATACTTTTCCGCACTCAGTGCGGATATGGGTGTTATCCGCACGCCGTGCTGTAGACTATTGTATGCACTATAAGAAGCCGTTATCCCTTTTACTTTCCAACCGTTCTTCCCGATATTTGTATTTCACCCCAATATAAATATTTACTACGAATGATTGAATCTTCTATCATTAAATTTTATTGATATGTAATTGTTTGTTGTTTAGCTATTTCTATCAGGTTTAACTATTATTCAATAAATTGTAATTTGAGTTGAATATTTTTTATTTTCGTTATCTGTTAAGAAGCTCGTAGCGAAAATGTTATTTTCTATTACTATATTTCATTGTTATATGTGATTGTTGTATAGTTACTTTTTTCAAATAGTTATAATTTTTTTCCTTTTTATCTGATATGTAGCTCGTAGGAAAAACGTTGTTCCTTACACGTGCGCAAAGTGTCTTTTCCGCACGCAAAAACTTATTCCTAACTGTATTCGCGTGTGGAAAAGTAATACCTTGAGCACTTGTTAGGAAAATAACTATTTCACACTCGTGTGTTTGCATCACTCGCCCTTCAGGCTCGTGCCACAAACTTTCACACTCGTGGGAAATGTTGAACTTTCCCCACTTATTGCACAATATACTATTTCCGCACTAGTGTGGCAAAAAAATTCCCGCAGTAATGTGTGAAAAATTTTCAGCACTACTGCTACTGCGGAAAAATGACAATTCCCAAACCAAATTGCGTGTGGGAATAGGGTGAATCACACACGCTTGTAGAAAAAAACGTTTTTCTGCAACCGACACAAAAGTCGTCCATTTTGATACCAAAATTAGCTCTTAAATTGACGTTTCTATTACTGACACAAAAATAGGTATGTTGCTAGGCAACATATTTAGTTCCTAGGAGCTAAAGTTGAATTTTAGTTCCTAGGAGCTAAAGTTGAACTTTAGCTCCTAGGAACTAAAAAGGATGTACTGGACGTCATCAAGAATAAACAACATTGTGACGATTGGTTATTTGGGTTGAGACGCATACCTGATTTGTTTCCGATTTCAGCAGATTTGGCATTTCATATACTCATGCTGGAGATATAAATACACCTTATTATAGTTTAGTATTGGAATTATGAACATCTCAGTTAAGTATTTTTGTTTTGATCAGGGAAGCCTTCAAGATTCAAATACTTGCTTTATCTGTATTTCATTCGTTATTCTCGGGACGGATAACTTGTTTTTGAATGATCACAGCAAGCAATAGTTTTAGTCTCAAACAACGATATTGTTCAGCCTCATTTGATTATCAAGTCAAACACACCGTAGTATGGAGAGGAATAAATAATCACTATTATCATGGTTGATATATGCTCACTAACCTAACATTTTCCACGTCTTGTTCCTATAGCTGGCACTGGCGCGGTATTTGCCATTAGAGCACCTGGTCCATACACAAATATGACACTCTGTGGTTGTATTCATATTGAAACTAAAATTCGAACATCCTAGAAAACCTAACCTGCTGTTAATGCAGGTAGAATATTCTCACCACATGGATTATTTGTCAATATTTGTTGCATTGCATACATATGGCACGGCATTGGTGATTACTTCACATGTTTATTTGAGTTAATTGTTTCGGTTGCAGAAAAAATAGCATGTTTTATTCGGATCAGAAGTGACTTTGTTCGACTCGCAAATTTTGCTTTCGCTCGGCCTCGCTAAACGCTCCGCCTCGCAAATGCAAAATTCGCTTGTCAAACAAAGTGTCACTTTTGATGCTAATAAAACAATCTACTATTTTGGACTCTGATGGAGAGCCCTATTTGAAGGGCTGTAGCTCCCATAGAGAAATAATGTTTCGACATAATTATATTCAATGGAACTTTTATTTATAAAAATACTACAGTACACTACACGAATTGTTAACCGATGTTTAGGAAACAGTCTGTATGTTGTAATTTGTTGCAGGTGTTTATTTGGGAGTAGATCCAAGTTTGGTACTCTTGGACCCTGAAGATGTAAGAACCGTTTTAGTAAAGGAATTTAATAGTTTTGTGGACCGTGGTATCTATGGGACCAAAGCCGATCCAACTACTGTACATTTGGTTACACAGAATGGTCAAGAATGGAAAAGTGCGAGGGTAAAGTTGTTACTTAAAGCAATTTTCATTTTGGCGGAATACTATGCGATATAACTAACGAAAAATGCTCCAGCCATATAGCGCAAATCATTATTATAATTCCAAGACCATACATTATTGTGATTAAGATAAGGTTGCAAGCATGAAATATCAAATATTATTGACAGTTTTCCAATTATACAGGGTGGCCCACGGTCGATGATACCTTAGACGTATACGGAAAACGGTACATTGGATTATCCTGAAAATTTGGTTACTCTAATAAGCGTTTGTGATCTAACGATTCAAAATATTTTCAGCGATGCAGCGTTGCCACTTTTACCAAAAAGTAGCATCATCTTTGTTATTTCAAATGGAACACCCTATATTTCATTGCGTTTTTAGATTCTTCTCGAAGAGCTGATTTCATCAATGCATCACACTTGGGGTCTAGCAGGAATTAATTCAGAGATATAGGGTGTTCAAAATCAAAATTTTTCAATTTCAGGAATTTTTTGTGTCGAAACTATCCATTTTCGATCAAAACGGTTTAGGTACATGTCCCTATCTTAACTTTTGATTCACTATCTACTGACATTCAATTGGAACAGATACAGGGTGATCCAAATTCTGAATCTTGGACCATCCTGTATTTTTTCCAATTAAATGTCGGTAGATAGTTAATAAAAAGTTAATATAGGGACATGTGAGCCGTTTTGACCAATGATGAATATTTTCGACACAAATAAATCCTAAAGTTGAAAAATCTTGATTTTGAACACCGTATATCTCTGTAATAATTCCTGCTAGACCCCAAGTGTAAAAACGCAAAAAAATACAGGGTGTTTCATTTGAAATAACAAAGATGATGCTACTTTTTGGTAAAAGTGGCAACGCTGCTTCGCTGAAAATATTTTGAATCGTTAGATCACAAACGCTTATTAGAGTGAGCAAATTTTCAGGATAATCCAATGTACCGTTTTCGGTATACGTCTAAGGTACCATCGACCGTGGGCCACCCTGTATATATCCATTTTTTCATGTTCATAATTATATCTGAGAATATTCCTTTCGAATAGAGTTGAATTATTTTTCACGGTTTATTCTTCTTTCACACACATTGAAATTGGCATGGCAGTCAAAATGTCAATTATATATTTTCCGAGGCTGAAAATGGAAAAAATTAGACCAATTCTGTTAGTGTGGAATGGGATGATTTTTTGCATATGGCGGTCCAAAAGCATGAGGCACAATATATATGAAGTTAGTTTCATTGAAAAATTCCTCATATGATTTCATAAAAGTCGACCCCTTTTTATTTCAATAAAAAAGTACGGCGAAAGCATCCAACAGGATGTTCGTCTCTGAAAAACTCATCATGTTGATGGCTTCATTTCATACCGGTCCCAATTTGTCACATAACAAAATAGTGTATTATAGACTGAAATAATATAAGATTTTAGCTAAGTACGGTTTTCTGTCCCCACCCCGCTACGCGTCGGGAGACAACATCACCTCGAGCTGTAATATCTACTATTTTTGTCCTTGAATAATTGATAACTATCAATCAAATCGATCTATAAATAAAACGGCGATATTATCTTATGATATGTAAACATAGTGAAGCAATGAATGAAGATATATTTGTTCAGAAAATGATCATTATCATTTTGAACATTTGATATGAATGTTATTGCTATCAATAATTATACTTCTAATCATCAAGGTACTTCAACAATTTGAAGCGCTGCGTAGAATAATTTAGTGATTTTTTTTCATACTTTTGTGTATGAAATGACTATAGTTCAACAAAATCCGACACTAAATGAGCAGAAAATGGACGATATAATGATATTATTCCTTTGGAATTTCAAAAAACTATAATGGTGAAAAGATCTAGGTCGAAACACATTCAAACACATTTGTATAATAATTACTGTATTCAGAATAAGAAAGCTTTCAGAATCACAGTGCGTAGTCAGAAACAATTACAGAAAAATATGGGAAGAAGTTAATAATATCACGAAGTCCAAAGCAAGTAAAGATTCATCTAATTATTCTGACATTGTTGATGATACTGGAAGCACACAAACTAATTTAATATGGTTTTACGAATACATTACGTCGAATAGATGAATGAATATCAACACGTTATCTCTCATCGATAGTTAATATGGTGAAATCATTTTCAAAAAATTCACTGTCTTCGTTATATCTGAGAAACCATGTAGTATATTTTGTCACAACGGCTTTAGCAGCACGGTAGTTAAGGGCAACTAAAGCGTGTTTTTCGCCTAAACTTCCGATCAATTTAAAGCCTGTATTCCGTATCGTTACCATAACAACTGAACAAATTTCTTGGAAATTTTGTCCTCCTCCTTGGGGACGGAGCATGAAATTACACTGAAAATTTTTTATCGTTTATATGACATTCACATTAAACTCCAGATTATTTCGAGTTCATTCTATAAGTCAATGAATAAAAATCATGTATCAACAGTTTACCATATAATATTATGTGGGTATACTTGCAAATTCGAAATTTACGAAAAGACATGTTGTTACTATACGTTAGTTCTTATATTTCATCACAAACAACGATCATTTTCAACTAGATCATCTAAGTGTTGTTGAAATTCCTCAGCTACGTCTTCTTTCTTCAATGGAAAATATAAAAGCGAACATTCACTAGAACGTATAAAATGTCTATGTTTCATGAGATATACGTAGTACTTTACTTTGAAACAATCTTATTCTGTTGTAATCCACGAAGGGCTCCATATTTTTCACACACCAGAAGCAAATGATATTTTGATAATCCCAAACAAGTTCGGTGAATAAATTTCTGGCCCGCATTCTTCTACTAAATTGTCACTAACTTCTAACTTCATTACAAAACTTGCATAAAACGTATATCGCGAATCGCTTCATCTCTACAAACTCATTATCCAAGTAATTTTTTAATAATATTTCAGTGTGAAATTTCATTACCGAATACCACTTCAGCTCCAATTTTTATCCGGTAACACGAATATTTAGAAAATTCTCCCTCGTCTTCGACTCCGGAAATAATTGAGGCTCTCAAGATATTATAAGTGGAAATTCATGTGAAACGTCAGTGAAAGGTGTTGAGATAGTGAAAAACTACAAAACCGTGTTTTTATGAGTTTATCAGCCCAAGGGACGAAATACATTACTTTTGGTGACATTTTTAGGGCTGATATGATTCATTATCATCATATTATAATATATGGTAAACAAACAAACAATTCTCGAAGACACTTGAGATCCCAATGCTGTGCAACCTTATCTTGGTTACAAAGTATAATTAAATATCAATAAGTGTTATCTGCCCATTTGAATCGTATCATCTATGAAATCTTCTAACTATTATCTGTTTTGTTTTTTTTTTCATTTTCATTCTATTTATTTATTGAAAATGTGACTTCCAGTCAGAATCAAGTTCTGGTATAAGGAAGAATAGTTAACAATAATTCCTGAAACTATACAATTAAAATAAACTCATGAATATTATAATATTTGAATAACTTAAGTATTAAATTTTGACAAATCATTTCATATTAGCGAGCATCAATCAATTTGAATATGAATCAAAAGTTGAAAAACAAATCATCTATTTCGCTCAGAAATGATAAATTTTTCAAGCTAGTATTTGAATTTTATTGAATTTCTGCAATTTTTTATATCATCTGGTAGTTCGTTATATACGAAAAGAGCAGCGTGGGTGAATCTTTTTTAGCCTATATAGCAGAATAAGCGATATCAAAATGAATGTCTAGTTTGGTAATCATGAATTTATTTGTTTCGTGTTTATTTTAAAATTTTTTCTAATGAGAATAATTCAGTTATTTTATATAATTGATTTGTTGGTGTATCATAATAATATGGTCAACGATACAGTACTTTCAATGACTTCTTATATAATGCAGATATTTTATTAAAATTGTTCTTTGAACAGTATCCCCAAGCATTTATCAAATAGTTAATACGACTGAGTATATGAGAATATAGAATTATATTTGCAACTTTTTTATACAGCTTGGGACATCTTGTCATGGCTCCAATAAAAGGAGATATATTTTTCTTTTTTCGTCAAAACATTCATGTGTTAGTCCCACTTTAATTTATCATTAAACCAAATCCCAAGATACTTCCTTCTCATAAGTTAGTTTCAAAAATTCATTTTCAATCCTGAGATTTGAATTTATATTGTGTTTATTTTTCAGTTGGAAAATCATATATTCAGTTTTATCAGTATTTATTGATAAAAGGTCTCTGTCTATTATATTTTCTAAAATGGTAGGATTTTTATTTCCATATGAAAGTACTATATCGTCTGCACAAATAGTGTAATTACTTCCTGTTTAAATTTTCGTGTTATTTTGAATATACCGGGTGACCTGGGAAAAAGTACATTGCACTGCGAAAATATGATTAATTAGAACAAAACATTAAGTTTTTAGAAGATGTTCAAATTGTTGCCCTTGTATACTTCAATACATTTTTCCATTAAAATTCAACACCCCGTATCTTTTAACCAAAGGCCTTGATGCGGAACCATGTTCATAGGAACTTTGTTCCTTATTTTAGTGTCCTCTATCGTGTGGCACTATGCAATGTACTTTTTTCTATGTCACCCTGTATAATAAATATAATATTGGTCTTAAAACAGACTCTGAGTTAGTAGATTTGGTACTGATTGTCCTATTTTGAAGATACGAATCTGAAAGGTTCCTTATATATTGAAAAAAAAATCGTATTGAAGGAAGTTATTTCCAATTGACCTATCACCTCTCGTTCGCCCTGTAGATTTTATTGCACATTTCTCTGATACACCCTGTATATTTTGTTTCTAGCCGTCCTTCTATTTTCATGTTGGATATGTGTAACTCGACATCCATCAGGGAAATCCGTCAATCCCTGAAATGCCTAGTCATTTCACGTATTGCAAGCAAACAGAGTCATTCTACAATCAGCCGTACTCTGTTTGCTGGATGGTT